ATTTAAATCTTCTTCCCAGTCTTTTAAAACAAGGGGCTGATTTTCAAAGCTCCAGCCAACTCCTTTCGCCACTTTTGCTTTGTCTGCTATATCACTGAAAAGAAACTGGAAGTAATTTGGGCTCAACTCTTTAACTGTAACAGAACCCCTAATTTGCCAGATAATCCCAATAGTTCTCCTTAAGCCTGCAAGATGAGCTCGTTTCGGGCCGATGAGTTTCCCAAATAAGCTCTTTCTGCATTCCTCGACACTGAGATTAATATCTTCCCTGCAGATGTTGATAATATTTGCTTCTTTGTCTGAAAGCTGGAAATTCCCCAGTTTTTGGATTATGTCGTCCGCCATGAATCAAGACCCGTTGGCGAAATCAATTGAGCTGAAGGCAGGACTCTTCCAATAACAATCCAGAAAAGCGAAACCCTACTGCAAAGAAACAGAAGAAACAAGGAGAGGGCAAACCGCCCCAGAAAACTAAACGGATTAATAGGAGTGAAGAGAAAAGAGATATCTAATGATGATTACCGAATGGGCACTGGTTTATTGTGTGATCTATTAGCTTGCATACGAAGGAATAGTGCTCTGAAGAGAGGAATAGTGCTCCCACGGAGAGAGGAATTTTTTGTCTTAGTTGACATGTCATAAGTGGAGCCTTATATCACAATTTTCAATATATCTAGCCCCAACAATTTTTTTTGTTTTTTTTTTAAAGTAAAAAGTAAAAACGCATGAATACCAACAACAATTGCCAAGAAAATCCATATACCATGTATTTTTCGCCAATCAAGTGATACATATATGTAATATGACCGTGTAGAATCTCTACATAACTCAAAAGATTTGAGATAAGATTCAGTTTCTCCAATCGGCATTTTAGTGCAACATTTTACAAACCACTCCTTTTAGGCGTCCGTTTACTTCGCAGGATGGGATGGGATAATGTAAATTATCCCACTTATACACGCATTTACTTTGCAATATTGGGATGGGATTGATCCCATGTGGCGTCATTGTGGCATGTGGGACCCACATACTATCAGGAATTCGCTGATAAATCCATCCCAGCCTCACCCCAGATTTTTTTATCCCATTCAAAAATTTACCATTTTGTCCAAATTTTTCTTCTTCCTCGCAATCAATATTTTTCTTCTTCGGGATTTTTCTTCTTCTTCTTCTTCTTCTTCTTCTTCCTGGTACGTCTCTCTCTCTCTTTCTCTCTCTCTCGTCACAAAAACCAAATCTCAAATCCTCGAATCTTTTTTCCTCTTTTCAGCACCTTATGTGGAACCTTTCTCCCAACAGCGCCACCACCAATGGCGGCCGTCGCCCGCCTCCTCCGATCCTCGTCCTCGTCCCCCGCCGCCGCTTCCTCCTGCTTCGCTCGGAGGTCGTTATCCAACGCGACTCTCTCTCTCTCTCTACGATTTTGCGTACAGGCTTTTGATTGCCTTGGGCTTGTGCATATGATATGTTTTGGATCTGAATTGTGAATTGAATTCAGCCTCTCTCTTTCTCGGCTGTTGCTGCCCATTACGCCTAGAGGTTTCGCATCTCCCATCATACAACACAGAGTCAAGGGTACCAGACGCCTCTCCCTCTCCCTCTGTAAAATAATTCGAGCTTGATCCTTTTTACTCACAATTGAATCGAGCAAGTGCTATTTGCATATAGACAAATAATTAATGGCTTTAATTGAATAGTTGAGATTTTTGAGATTTTTGAGATTTTGAGGGTGTAGATTTGTGTACAGGATTTTGAGATTTTTGTCAGAATGGGAAAAATTGCAAAAGAGGGGAAAAATTGGTGAAGGAGACGGTGCATATTTGAAGGGTATATATGACATTTGTTGTTTTATCATCTCATTTCAAAAAATTACATCATGTAAAGTAAACATTAGACAAAATGCTGAGGTGTAAAGTTGGATGGATTATTTTGTCTAATCCCATCCATTGAAGTAAATGAGGCCTTACAGTATAGATAGATTAAAAAGTAACTGAGTTCTTTGAAGTCTCCCTCTTTATAGCGTTTTTAATACAAGTGTGACAACTATCAACATAAATCATGACATGGCGCACACAATCTTATCCTGAGAAATTGATGCCGACGAGATTGCATTAGCATATCTCGACAAGTTTGATCGACTCGTTTCATTAGTTTGAATATTATTACTATTATTACTATTATTATTATTTAGTTTATGTTTATTTAGGTTATGTTTGGGCTTTTATTATGTTGTAGTGGATTATTATGTTGGGCTTTTTATTTAATAGTGGATAGGATTTTTATGTATGGTTGAAAAACAGTCGTGTATCTCGTGTACGAGCAGTTATTGTTTATCAGATATGGAAAATTAGAAAAATTGTCTGTGAGTTCTTCGTTCTCTCTGCAATAATCCCATCACTTGCTTTCCTGCTACATCATTTGGTATCAGTTTCTAGGACGATTCTCGATGCCGCCGCGAGGACGAGTTGCAGCAACTGAACGGCGTGATGCCGACATCAACGATCAATTTCAACAAATGAAAGATCGATTTCAATTGATGGATAATCGGTTCGACAATCTCTCGACGGGGATCGACAAAATTCGTCGTTCACTACATACCATAATTGGGGAAGGGCAAACTAACCGTGATGGTGGCGTGTCTTTCGCGGAGGAGGCAGAGATGGCCGTGGCGGACGTGGCCGTGCTGGGGCGCCCCGGCATCAGTCCCCGCCGCCTCTGAACGGCAGTGACGATAGTGAGTCTACCAGAGAACCCCTTCGCTGCAGGATTTGAGCGGGAGAGGGTTGACGGAAATCGCACCCCACGTCGGCGCCGCTCCTCCCCTCACAGTGCGGATGACGGTTTTCTTCCCCGTGGGTTTCCAGATCCACAGCAGTTTGGCCCGTGTGGTGGTGTCTTCGATCAAGATGGCCGGCCCTTCCCCGGAGGGTTTCGCCGTGTTTCGCCTGACGAGGAGGCCGTTCGCGGTCACGTGTTCCCTAATTTTCATCACGCTGGCCACAGATGTGAAACCCTAGGTCCCTATTTCCAGCGCGGCGGAGAGCGTGATTTCCGGCGAGCGACTGTCGGCGGGGAGGATGTCCGCGGATGGCAGCAGCAGGGTCGCCGGAGACCTGGCAATTTTGAGGGTGACAGAGCGAATATTGAATTGAACGGGGGAGATGCTTTTGGTGATGGTCGGCAATTTGGGACTTTTGGAGAGGGCCGCGGTTTTGAGAATTTTTTTAATGGACAGCGCGTTGGGGATTGTGCTGGCAGAGACAATTTCTTTTATTCTCCCTATGGGCGTGCTGATTTAATTACCGATAGTCGGTGGGAAAATTCTTTTCGGGTTGATATTCTGGATTTTTCCGGTGGGTTCGACGCTAGTGAATTTATTGATTGGTTGACCGCCGTAGAGGCTGCCCTCGATTTTAAAAGTGTAGGGATGAGCGGCGAGTTGCTCTTGTGGTCACTCGACTTCGTGAACATGCGGCTGCTTGGTGGTTACAATTACAGGATGTGCGGCATCTTCAGGGCAAACCAAAAATCACCTTGTGGGTGAAATTTCATAAGTATCTTGCACGCGAGTTCTTACCGTTCGATTATGTTCGTACACTTTATCAGAAATTGCAGAACCTTCGACAAGGATCACGTAGTGTTGATGAGTATACCGAGGAATTTTATAAACTTCTGGCCCGGGTTGATATTCGGGAAACTCCGGAACAGTTGATTTCTCGATATATTGGGGGTCTACGTGTCTCTTTTCATGATATTTTAAATATGTTTACTCCGGCTTCCGTTTCTGAGGCTCATCAGTAGGCTTTATTGGTTGAGCAGCAGCAGACCCGGAAGGGGGGTACTTCTTTTGTGTCGTCTACAAAGGAGCCTCTTGGGACTTCGGGTACCGCGTCGTCTGCGGTGAAGGCTCCGTTCGATTTGCGTGCTCCTTCCGAAGGCCGTGTGGTTGGCCCCACGATGGGGAGTGGCAATCGGCAGTCCAGTGGCCCATGTTGTTTCACTTGTGGTGAACCGGGGCATCGCCAGGCACAGTGCCCGAAGGCGAGAGGGTCACGAGCTTTGATTGTTGACGAGCCAGACTCGACTGCTTACGATGGTCCTCCAATTTTCGATAAAGAGCCGGAGATTCCTGAAGTGCATGTTTCGGGAGACGTGGGTCACGCGCTTGTCCTTCGTCGGTCTCTTTTGTCTCCCCACATCTCTTCCGAGGATAAGGTTCAGCGACCCCACCTTTTTGAATCCACTTGCACCATTGGCGGTCGTGTGTGCCGTTTTGTCATTGATTCCGATTCCTGCGAGAATGTGATTTCGAACGAGGCTGTGACGAAACTGGGGTTGTTAAGTGAGCCACATTCGGATCCGTATGCTTTTGCGTGGATACAACATGATGATTCTGTTCGTGTCACTCGACGTGTGTTGGTGACCTTTTCTATCGGATCCTCTTATAAGGACATGACATGGTTGTGACGTTGTGCCTATGGATTCTTGACATGTTTTATTAGGACGACCTTGGCAATTTGATCGTTCGGTGTTACATGATGGACGCCTCAACATATATAGTTTTTTATTTGAGGGCGTTCGCAGTCCTGCATCCGTCGTTATCTAGTTCTGAACCTTTGCCATCGTTGTCTCCGGTTTTATTCGTTTCTCGCGTCGAGCAGTGTAGAGAGTTATCCGGTTCGGAGGATGGTCGTCTTTGACGTAGGTAATTTTGTTGACAGGGTCATCCACGACACCAACGAGATTACGAATTCGAGGGCGAATCCTCTCCATCCGGGAGAGAATGATGCCGACGAGATTGCATTAGCATATCTCGACAAGTTTGATCGACTCGTTTCATTAGTTTGAATATTATTATTGTTATTATTATTATTATTATCATTATTATTTAGTTTATGTTTATTTAGGTTATGTTTGTGCTTTTATTATGTTGTAGTGGATATTATGTTGGGCTTTTCATTTAATAGTGGATAGGATTTTTATGTATGGTTGAAAAACAATCGTGTATCTCGTGTACGAGCAGTTATTGTTTATCAGATATGGAAAATTAGAAAAATTGTCTGTGAGTTCTTCGTTCTCTCTGCAATAATCCCATCACTTGCTTTCCTGCTACATCAGAAGTTCAAGCTGTGACCATCATGGCCAACAAAACAAATCCACATATACTAACTTCCGACAAACAGCCAATATTAATAAAGATTTGTCTCAAATACAGAACTTACAAACACCCGAGTTCTTCATGTCTTCAAAGTTCAAGTAGAAAGTAACTGCAAAGACTAATACGGGACGTTCTTGGGGAGATTGCGTATGACATTACTTTTCATCCCAATCTTAGAGCGCATGACCTCAACACCATTCTTGTTCATTGCCTTGATCACTTTCATCCGGACCATATTTTCTCTCGACTGCACAGTTGCCAGACCCATGCTCTTATATCTGCACAATAGTAAAAAGATATCAGCTTCATGACTACCACAGTACAATATGAAGTTTTTCATCCGCAAATTTTTCCGGTACTTCTGTACTTCTTACACCAGAACAAGCAAAGAACAAGCAAACAGGAGAAGGGCAGGTATTTCCAAAAGCCACTCTTTAACAAGTGATTTTTTTCCTTT